TATGTATGTATATATACACACACATACAGATGTAACTATGTAGCTACAGGCTTTGTATGCATGCCACCTTGCAGGGTGACAAAAGCAACATAAGCCGAGGGAGCCGTCGATCGCCAGCACGAGCAGCTTTGATATGCATCCTGCTGAGCCTGCCAAGCCTGCTGAACCTGCGCTGGGTCAGACCTTCTTCTGCAGGCAGGGGTCGAACGCTTGGATGGATAGCAGCTCTCTAGCAGCTTAGTATGAGCGACCCGAGCATGGTGACTAAAATGGGACGAGGCCGCAGGTTTACGAATGGTGTGAAGAGGATGTTTGCATCGCTTCGCGAGAGTCAGCGATCACAAATCGATGATTACAGCAGCATAGGTTTTCCTCCCACGAGAACCGCTACTACCACCACCACAGATGCCAAGACACCACTACGACCAGACTACGACTATTACTGCCAGCCACTACCGCTGCTAGTGCTCTGACTGACAGGTCTGACCGATTTGGCGGGCCCCGAAGCCGCCGTGGTGCTGGCTGATCCAAAACATGCATCACTTGAGTTGCGACGGAACCCTGCTATCGATGGGGAAGCAGGATCCCTCATTTGCGATCCTAGACCTAAATTCAAGCATTTCAGCTTCAGGCTACAGTGCTGCCGCAAGTAGCCCTCCTCCATGAGCATGCTCCACGTAGGGGGTTTCAACCACAAAGCCCACCCCGTCATCAGTCATCTGTCACAACTAACAGGACGACCCCGCGCGATGGCTTTTGCAGGTAAATTGCCCTCTGAGGTAGTATCAGCAGCTTTTGCTCTGACAGTAATTGAATTTAGACGAAAGAGATCCTTGTTTTAGGGTTTTGGCGTCTAGGGTTCCCGAAACCCTCAACCCCAAACCCTTAAACCAGCAGGTCCCTCAGACGCACCTTAAGCCATACCGTGGGATTTCTCGGGCATCGGCGCGGGGAGCATGGCCGCGTCTTCGAACATGGGCACCGATCCGGAGTCCCTACTGGCCCAAGATGTCGGGAAAGGCTGCCGCGAGGCCTTCAAAGACTCCCGGACCGACGAGGTGCTCGCGAAGTTCGGAATGGTGCGGTTTAGCTGGAACAACAGGCTCTGCTGGGGCACCGACTTCCACAAGGATGTGCTGGACAACAAGCATGAGAGGGTCTTGCGACAGCTGGATCAAGGCCAGGCACATTTGGAGGACCGCTTCGCTTACACAACGACGTTCAATGGGAAGGCACAGATCTGCACCGGTATGGCCATTCATCTCGCAGCCAGCCGCGGACACACACTCCTTGTGGAGACGCTGCTTGATCGGAGGGCCAGCGTGGAGAGCAAACTCTGCCGTGATGAGACGGACACCTACGACGTCATCCACGCTGCCGTCTTCAAGGAGGGGCGCGGCGGATCTAGCGATATCATCACTCTCCTCTGCAGCCGTGGAGCCAATATCGATTCGGCAAACGCGAACATGCCCTCATGCTTGCACTTAGCCTTCCAGACCGGCAACATGGCCACGATCCGGGCAGTGCGGCATGCAAGGAAGATGAGAAGTTTGGCGAACGAGAACTGCGAGCTAGAGGAAGGCGAGGTCGATTTCGATGCCAAAGAGCACAAGGCAACGCCTCTGGAGCATGGCATCCAGTGGGGTAAGATGAACAAGGAAGCTTTGGCCAAGGCGGCCCCTCCACACATCAGCAGCCTTAAGGTCTTCATCCACAGGGCGCCGGAGTGCATCCCAATGTTCATGAGCCGGCTTCGCGACACAAACCGAATGGGTTGCCGCAACGAGGAGCTTTCCAAGAGGCTTGCCGACGAGCTCACTCACAAGGACATTGCTCGCCTGTTGCGCGACTGTCCAGAGGCCGCTGTGGCGCTGCTCAACGGGGTCACTGCGAAGCCCATCGTGGCAAGCGAAGGTTGGCATCCGCTGCCGAGCCGAGTATCCTTCGCAGCACGATCTCCGATAGCGCGGCTTCTGAAAAGCTTCTTCCCGGCGCGTCGTTTCCTCTGCTTCTATGAGACCGAGTGTAGTTGGAGCTACGACGACCATGCATACGAAGCACCAGCCTGGCACTCGAAGATCACAGACGTCAAGGAACCACCGTGCGTCGATGCGAGCATCCAGGTGTGCTACATTCCCAATATCGTCTCGGCCAACATTTTCGCGGCGTTGGTGTCTTGCACGGGAGGCGAGGATCCAGCGCTCTTCCTGTACGACTCCGTGGCAGTGCGCGCTGCCGTGTCCTACACCTTCTGGAACGGTGCAATCTGGGTGGACGTACTCCAGTTCCTCATCTCCTTCTGGGGGTTGACGCTCCTGGTCTTGGAGACCTGCTTCAAGCACGAGGCGGCAGTGGGCAAAAAGATGGAATACCTGGATTGGCAGATGAACGAAGGTGTCTTCCAGCCCAGCTTCGTTGCACAGAGTGCTCGAAACGGGGTGGTCGCCGACTGGATCATTGCCAAAGGCATGGTCGATCTGCTTCTGGAAGTGGCCCAGTTTTGCGGCTGCTGCATGATCGGCGAGGTCAGCAGCTACCTGAACCTAGGGAATGTCTGGGACCTTTCGCGCAGCATCATTCCTATCATGCTCCTCTTCTTCCATGACAGCCGTTTTCTGCACCTGCTAATTGTGCTCATCTACTGGATGCGGCTTCTGGAGGGCGTGACATACTCGGAGAAGATCGGGCACGCCCTGCTTCCATTGCAGAAGCTTGCCACTGGGCTCCTCCCGGCCATGACCTTCACGCTGGTGGGGTTCTGTGCGCTGACGCATTCCATGTACGCGGTGCAAGTGGAGGCAAACCATCTCTGGCCCGACACGCTTTTCGACACGTTCACCACGCTGATCACCCAGGGCCTACCCGAAAAGCCGCCGGACGACATCCTCGAGCTGCTGGTGCTCTACGGTGGCGAGCTGTTCTTTTCCGTCTTCGTTTTGAACATCTTCATTGGTGTCATCGGCGAGCAGTATTCGAAAGAAAAGGATCAGGTCGGCCTGATGTTCATCAGCGTTCGGGCATCCTCCTGCCTCACCTACCTCCTCCGCATCCACGTTTTCCCCTGCAACCTGGTCACAAGTACCACTGCTGCTATCGTGGGAGGCGTCTGTGTGTTTTCCACGCTGACGCTCCAAGTCTTGGCTCTCTTCTTCGGGAGGCAGCTGCCTGGGCTCTTGCAGCTCTTGGCTTTCGTGGCATGTCAGGTGATTACCTTCATCGCAACGATTCAGTGCAAGGGCAGCGACTTTCCTTGGATGTATCGGACTTGGTGTCAATCACAGGCTTCTTCTACATTGGAGTCTGTCGACTCGTCGGGATACGTCCCCTTGGGTACGAGGAATGGGGCCGGCAAGAGGAGATATCTTTGGATCTGTGAGCCACGGGACCTGGAGATCATGCACCCAAACGGCGGCAAGCCAAACGGCGGCAAGGGATCTTCAGCACCGAGCCGTGCATCGCAATCGATGATTTTCGACGATGCCGACAAGATGCTGCGCTCTTCCATCGGGGGCTTGGAGGACCTGGGCAGATATGAGCTCGCATTGATGATACACGGTGCCGTGCGCGAGGAGCTCGAAGACGCCAAGGATCTGCTGGAGAGAGCCACTCGATCGCGAAGAAACACATCTCCCGCACCGACGTTGCTCACATTGACGCCGTTTGCCGCAGCAGATGTGCGCAAGGCTGACGGCGATGAGATGGCGGGCCTTCCATGAGGATCTGCGGGGGTTATGCTGCCGGAGTTCCTGCGGAAGGATGTGGACTCCAATGGCTGCAAACCTCAGGGTTCATTGCGGCTTTACTAGAATCAGAGCTGCTGCAGCATAGCCAGATGTCATAATGTCGCTGTACAGACGTGCAATGTCCGAGAAGCAGGAAAGAACTTTGCGGTCAGTTATGGAAGCAATGTATAATTAGAGTAGTTAGCTGCCTGCTTTTGCATCTCGGGTGGTCACGCCGTTTAGTCGTTTAATTTTTGTTTCGTGCATGTACAGATTCGTGAGCGCTTGCACACGATGCCGACCTGCGTTGGCCCGATTGGCTCCAAAACTGCAGGCCCATAACCCTATACACCCTAAACCGGGTAGCTTTTGCTGTGAGACTTTCGGACTTGCGACGGCAGCTGCACTTCCCACTTGGTGGGTGCGGTTTTCGGATCGGCCCCCACAGTCACCCGCCAAACTCGAAAAGAGGCAGCTTGAAGCGCATGTGGTTGTTTTAGTTTTGGTGCTGAGTCATTGTATCTCAGATTTGTTTGGCTTTAGGCTCTATGCTGCGGCATGAAGTGGGCGCACAAACTCGTAGTAGACTACAGTGCAGATCATTAGTGGCTAGCTTCGTAGCTTGATGTAGTAGAGCACGGCCTCTTGGAGAAGAAGCAGGGTAGGGGCCGTATGGGTGGTTATGGCTTACATGCGTCCCGGTGGGTCTGTCATGAGCCCTGTTGCTTCTCTCGGGTGAGCCTTGCCTGCTGTGTGCGAGAGAGTCGAAATAGTAGAGTTACTCAGTTGCCAAGCCGGTGAACATGGTAGTTGAGCTTCCGCTGGCTTCTATCGGTTCAAGCCTTGGGCGGTTTTGTATCGGTCGCACCTGCGTGCGATGCTTGGGCGCTGCGTTCGAGAGCACTGGTTGGAGGAGTCAAGCTTGCTTTGCTGTGACTCGCACATGTGTCCAAGGTTTCCCCAAAGCATCATGAGCAGATCGCAAGGCCGAGATCTCCTTGGTTGCTAGTGCTGCATAGCAGAATCTATGTTACATATGAGAGGACGGGACACCATATTCTATGCTGCACTAGTAGTCTTCCCTGAAGTGTACAAAGTGCAGTGAGAGCTCTTACAGCTTAGCAGGTATGCGGGCCCGGTTAGGGCCTGAGATCCTCTTCGCCCCTGGTGTCATCCCCGCGCCGCGGAACTGTCTGAGGCCTGGAGCCGTCGTGCTCGGGACGGCCGCCCTGCTCGTGGCATCCTACTCAGACCTTGCGGGCATGCCGGGAAAGCCAGAACATGTCAATGTGGAAAAGGTGTGTCACAGGTGACCTCAACAAGTAACTGCTAGCAGGCGACCAAGCTGGTAGATGTCGGCTGCTTCATTCCTCCTGCAGTTTCGAGCTCAGCACCTGCTTCTGTGCTGTCCGTTTGACACAGCTTCTGCCCGGTGAGGCCCCTGGCCTGCGCCAGTCAGAGACCGGACAAAATCTGAGACTCTAACCTGCAACTTGCATTGCACATCGCTGTTTTAAGATGCTTCCGAGTCTGTCTTTGGAGCCGAGGAACTTCTGGCCTTGCCTGAATCCCAGAGCATCCCACAGCGCCTCACGGCTTCGGCCGCTGCATCTGCGCATCAGGCCGGTCTCAGTCTGCTGCCTACAGTGGCACATGCAGAGGAGGCGGTGGAACTGATATTTATCTTGATTCCACATGAACCACACTGAGAAGAAGCGCATCCTTGCAGGGTACGCCAGAGTCCGGCCACAGCCTCTGAATGAGTCAGTGAGTCAGAGAACTCTTTTCAAAGAATGCTTGGCTGCCACTCAGAAAGCGCCAACGCCTTGGTAGAGAAGTGGAGGCTGGGCTTGGCTTCAGCCAGGGGATTTCAAGCCTAGGGGCAAGTGCGCCACGCCATCTGCGACAGGGCCTTCTCGGAGAATCCCGATCAGTTCGATCCAACCGCCGTTTCCAATGCTTCGGGCGAGGCCTAGCTGGTTCCAATCTGTTGTGCACATGTTTGGCACCGAGTTGGACCTTTAGTAGCAGCACAGCTACCTGACACGGAAAGCCTTAGATTCTAAGTCTCTAGCGACAGCGCTGGGGGATGCATGTGTTTAGGTTGTATTGCAGCTTTCAGTCACCCACCCAGCCCTTGGTGGCGCTTCGTTTCCTCAAGCCCGAAGCCGTGCCAACCTCTCAGACGTGGAAGCTTGGCACGCTCACGGGTCGTGCGGACCAGCTGCGGCCTTGGTCACTGGGGTGGTGGCGTAACAGTAACTAAAGATTCATGATATCCAACACTGGGACATTTTTGCTTTTCAATCTTGGCCCAAGGGAGACCGTGTTTCTGATCGTGGGAGCAGTTGGCTTCGCCGCAGCCTCGGCAGTTATACAATCTAAGGTTCGTCTTTCCTGAGAGCTCTGTCTGTGTGTGTGTGTGTGCGCGTGCGTTGTCCCTCCAGCTACACTTGTCGTACCCGGGCATTTTGTTGTTTAATGCGTTGTTCCGCCCGTCACTGCGGATGCGATCATTGTGCCGTTTTCGTCGCCGGCCATGTCGCCACTGGCATTCGCAGTACTTGCCGGCATCCTGATTGTTAGAGGTGTGATGCAGAAACTGCAGTGATGCGACGCTGCTGCTCAGATGCTCTTCATCGTACTCCTACTGGTTGCTGCTCCTACTACTTGGTGCTCCTGCTGCCGTTGCAAACATGAATCAGCACCAACAATATACCAACAATGCTACAATGAGTTGCTACTGCCATGACGACGTCGGCTTCCCACTGCCAAAGCTAGTTCGAGACTTGTTTGTTGTGCGCACCGACGCTGACCTTCCTTGCTTTGGTTCCCCTGGCTTCTTTTTTCAAGAATAAGAACAATTTTCTTGTTCTGTCCGAACGAGAGCCATGCAAAGAGCGGAGGGATTCGTTCAGCGCAGCAGTGGCACATCATCTCGTTGCAAGAATCTGCAAATGGACTCTGTGTGTGGCCCTGAATAGATGGTTGTCTTCACATCTCAGACTATCTCAGGAAGCTAATGACAGCAGTATGGGGATGGGCAGATTGCTTGTAATCTGGTTCCGGGCCTGCGCTGAACCAATGATGGTCGGCGACAGCACAATGCTCCCTCCTAGGCTTCCTTGCCTCGCAACTACCCTTTGCAGAGACCCCTATGTCATGAGCAGCGACACGTGTGGATCCAAACTATGAAACCCCCTAACAAGGAGCCCCATATGCGCGAGAATGCCGGAGCCAAAAAACTGCGGGAGAGAAGGAGCGCCCCTTGCTCCTAGCCCTGGCGAAAGAAAGAAGGAGCCCCTAAACCCTAAACCCCTGAGACATCCTTCTGTCACGCTTGACGCCGAGGCCGCTGCGTTTATCGTGAAGTTCATTCTCCCCGACCCAAAGGCCGCTCGAAGAGTCTGTGAAGCTTCAATGGTGCATGATATGGCAAACGATACGGTACTATAGTTTCTATACTATGTACTACAATATACTATGATATTCGTAGAATATATACAAACATATACGAGAATCTAAACCATAGGACATTAAAATTTGCAATATACGAGAATTATTTATACCATAGATCCGATATTAAAAACAAAACAAACCTCGAGCTGAGGATGAACCCGTGGACATCGAAGCCGCGAAGGCCAGGCCTAGACCGGAGTGGTCCCTTGGCTGCAGCGAAGCTCTCTGTCTTTGTGCGGCAGCTGGTTTAGGGTTTAGGGGTTTTTAGGGTTTTCGGTTTTAGGGTTTTAGGGTTTAGGGTTTTTCGGCTTGAATCATTTTGGGGTTCATGGTTTTTAAGGTTTTCGGTTTTGGGGTTTAGGGCGCAAAGTGCGCTGCAGCCCCTGCTCAAAAAAGGGTTTAGGGTTCAGGGTCTTGTGTTTCGTGTTGAGCATCTTGGTCCTGGGTGCCAGGGTGATTCAGCGAGATTTGAAGGAGGCCGAGGAGATGAAGAAATCCAAGGACTGTACATCTTTGCATGGGATGTCCGGATATCATAAAAGCCATGCTGCCACACTGATCAAGGAGTTCAAGGAAAGGCAGAGGCCTCTGCAGCTGTGGTTTTCTGGAAGTTCCCCTAAGCGATCGTAGGATGCACACCGCGAATGCCAGGGGCCGTGGCATGCGTGAGGGCATTATGCCTCGGTGAGCTGGTATGGCCGAAGAGCATCAGACTTCTTGCTATAAACATATATATATATAGATAGATAGTATCTTATAGTATATATCATAGTATCTTTTGATACTGGTAGCACATGTAGAAGGCATGAAGGGTGATCGAAACTTGCTAGAGCGGACGTTGCCCTAGAAAGCTTGCCCGGCAAGCCCTTGTTGGGCCACATAGCGGTGATGAAGTGCTTTGAAGCACAAAGCGCACTTCCCTCTCATTCTCCATGTATATATTCGCCCCGGCACAGCCCACACGGGCTGAAGAAACGTGCCACCTCCAGACCGACAGTCAAAAGCACAGAGTTCAAAAAGCTTCCTTGATGATTCCGCGCCTGCAGATAGGCTAGAGCATGGCCGCCGCATGCTGCGATGGGAAGAAATTCCTGCAGTACTTCTTGGGGGTCCAAGAAAAATATGATGACAATGCCGAGCATATACCAGGGAAGTTCCAGTCCATCTCGAACACAATGCCATTTCCCGGTGTATGCAGCATCTTCAACCTAACACTTCTAAGTTGTAAGCCAACACCAGCCTCGGATGACCGCCGCTGTGCATGGCAGTGCCCTCTTGGGAGTCGGAGCCCTTCAAATCGCCCCGGAGCTGAAGACTGCGGAGGCCGAGGTCTCCTTGCAGCGCTTCCGCAAGCATGGCCGAGCCCTCAGGAAGATGGCAGTTTAGGGTTTAGAGTTTAGGGTTCAGAGTTTAGGGTTCAGAGTTCGGCAAGGTTATCCTGTTCAACATAGTGTCAGATGCCGTTGATCGGCGGATGCGAAAGCTGGCTCCGCAGTGAAGCTGCTAGGGCTGCTTGCTCCAACTCCGGGCGGAGTGGAAAGCCTGTTGCAAAAAAAAAGAGGGTTTAGAGTTTAGGGTTTAGGGTTTGCAGCTTCGCTCCGAGATGTCTGCGAAGTAAGTCGGGAGGCGATGTGCAGACGGAGGCGGCAGTGGCTGCTCTCCGACAGGCGGCGCAGCTGGCATGGAGCACCCGTCGACTGGAAGAAGGCCTCCGGGCAGCAGATGAGGCCAGGAAGATGTACGGCTGCCCTGCTTTTGCTTGCCCTTGCCTCGAAGTGCAGCGAGGCACGTCAGTTGCTTCAAGAGCGCCGCGACCGGGAAGGGGAATTAGCGACTTGGCTGAGCAAGTGCAACTCAAGCCATCGGGGGCTTGAAGACGTGATGAACTTTGCGCGAGAGCTGTGAGGAATTCTTGTCCTGGACCATTTGTGCTCTGCGGAGACGGCGGAACGAAGCAGAAGCAATGCGCACGGCCCTCGGTGACTTGAGCATTTTCGGCACTGTTTGTGCAGACTGTTGGCCCATCAGTTGCAAAGGTTTTGCACGGCGGCGGTTGGAGCTCTACCGCCAGATGCAAATGCTCCCGCAGGCCAGGCCCGGGGTCTCTGAACAGGAAGCGCTCGCTTTGAGCACAGACGGTTTGTGCTCACAAAGGTTGCAAGTAGCCTTTGCGAGATAGCTGAGCTCAGCCTGGCTTTGGACGAGGTCGGGAAGCCGGAATGGATGTTTGCCCTGCTGTCTCACACTCTCTCGTTTTTTTACATGTACTAAATCGAGTCTCTGAATGAGCATGAACGCGCCAGACAAAACATAAGCACATAAAGTAGTTTTATTTTGCGAACATAGATGGAATCGCGAGGCATGTCTCCAAAGGATGATAGAGAGTGACTTTCAGGTAGTGCTCACTAGGAAGGAATGTCTTCTTGCTGTCAAGGACAACGATGAAGATAGATTGCAGTCATAATGGCAATTATCTTGACTCATCTTGACTCTTAATGCATATACTATCCAAACAGTGTGGTAACGCTATGGGATTCATTCGATCAGAGTCGGGGATTTGCCTTGGCGTGGTGACCAGCTTCGACATTCTTCGACTGAAGTGACACGCCTTTCGCAAGGCATGCCAAATTCAGTGTAAATTCAATAACTTGGACAGTGCCAGTGTCGTGCGAATTTTGTTGGGTTTGTGAGTCGAAGCTGGCCATCAGGTCGCTGGTCTTATAAAGTCCTAGCTATGAGAGTCAGGGCCCTTTCAACGTGGTGGAAGGCATGTGCTGGCCGGGCGAGAGGCTACAGGTGTTTCGAAAGCTGGCAAAATCGAAATCGTGTGTCATGCATATGTTATCAGTTATCATATGTTGCTGCGACTGTGTGGCAGCTTGTGCTCTTGGGTGGTCTGGGGGTCTGCACGGGCATAGGTGCCCTGGAATGGTTCTTGGCTATGCATGGCTTGGACCGCCAGGTCGTCTTGCTCTAGCATACACGCATCTATATATATATTTTTTTTATTTATCTTTATATTTATATACATAAAGAGAGAATGTGTCATGGGGCCCGTAATGTGTCATGGGCCCGTAATGTGTCATTTTCTGTATATGGTATGTAGATAGATACATAGATAGACAGACAGGTAGATAGTTGTATACGGTATAGTACATGCACGTGCATGTGTGTGTGGGGGGTATATTATACATGTACACATATATATATATATACATACAATATATTAATATATATTATATATTATATAGATTAGAACAAATACGTATAAATATATATATATGTGTGTGTGTATATTATATTCTATAATATATATATATATATTGTATATATTATATATACATATATAATTTAACTATATATGATATATAATACATAATGTGTATAATATAAAATATATATAATATATGATATAGATAATATATAATATATATGATATATATGATATATACTATAGAATATATATATATACAAGTAGGTCCGGAGGCCAGGAGAGAGAGAGACAGAGAGAGAGAGACAGCGAGTTGTAGCTGTTTTACCTAGAACCGAGACTGACAGGGCGCGTACGCGCGCGAGGGGGGTCTTCAGCCTTCCCTTTGTCTGTGTTGAAGAAGACAGCGAGTGGAGTCTAACCCGGGGTACGTCGTCTGGTACGTGTACTGCTACTCCCCCCGAAAGCCCCACTAATACCTGGGGGGCCCTATGGGCCGGGGGGCCTTACTCGCCCCTAAGACCCGGCGGAAGAAGAGCGAGCGAGAGATGTATGTATGCCCCTTTGCCCATAGCCCTGGCGAAAGAAAGATGTATGTATGCACATGCGTACGTGCGTATGATATATATGTATGCATGTATGTATGTATGTATGTATGTATGTGCATGTGCTATGTAGGTACATAAACAAATAAACAAATAAATACATACATAAATATATATATATATACATACATGTACATATATACGTATATATATATATATAGAGCTGTGTGTGTATGTGCATGTGCATGTGCATGTGTATGTAGGTAGGCAGGCAGGTAGGTAAGTAGGTGTGTAGCTAGCTATGTATGTATGTATATATGTATGTCCGCATGTATGCATGTATGCATGTGTGTACGTGTGTATACATATATATATATATATACATGTGTGTGTACCTATGTATACGTATGTGTACATATGCACATGTATAAATATTCATACTATGGTCCTTATGGTATAAGCCATTACAGTATGTTATGCAGCAAGAGGTGTCACAGATGGTTTCACGCGCTTCTTCCAGGTCATCGAAGCGACAGAGGCCGGCCAAGCGGCCGAATTGATCTTCAAGCGCTTGAAGGAGACGTCTGGGGATGAAATGGCTTGCTGCATCGCCTGGCTGACATCCCAAAGTATTCATGCCAACTTTGTTGATATGTGCTAGTAGCACTGCATCTGAAACTCCGGGGTGGGGACATGCTCTAGCCTGCTGGAATTGACGCGGTTGCAGAAATCTTCGGATCTTGTTCGTTTAAACTTCAAACTTGCCTGGTGGCGGGCTTCTCGGGTTGAATGTAGGAGCATGGGTGGCTTGGTAATAGCAGCATGTGCATTTTACAGCTTCAGGATCACAGAGGCGAAGCAAGGGTTCTGCTGGAGGTTGCTGCGGACTCAGCTCTTGCCAAATCTGGCAGAAACCGCATAGGAACACCTGTGGCATCGGCGGCATCGTTCACTTTACCATAACAAGGTCGCCAAGGTGGAGACATTGAAGGGACGCACCGTGCAGGCCTTGGCGCTGCAACAGAGCTGCTGCAGAATGCTGAGTCGGAAGATCGCAAGTTGTTTTCAATATCGACAATGACCGCAGTACCCCCTCCTTGCACCGAGGATGTGGCTCAGCTGGCTGCGAAGAATGCGAGGGACTAAGTGAGAACAGGTCAGGGCAGTCGCAGTCAAACACGGACGTTGTTGTCGTGGTTGGTCGATCTTGTCTCACATACGCGGACTCCAGCCTATACGCCTCACCTCGAGCTCTGAAACCCTAAATCCCAGCCAAGGCAGCCTCACTCTTGCGAGAAAATGGCGACAGCGCGGGCGAAGCAAAAGCGTGCGGAGCCTAGCCCAGGGGCATCGGAATTGCAAAATGTTGTTGAAAAGATTGTTTAAGCAACAATGGGAGGGAGGCCAGGAATCGACTTTATCGTTACATGATTCGAGAAGGACCAGCACAAGTCAACTCGATGCACGTCGGCAGTCCTTCTGCATGTCTTTTGCAAGGTTGACCGCGCTGGCAGAACAGCTAGTGCCTGCCACAGCTAAATAGTTCCCACTGGGATATCTTCCTGACTCAATGCCTTGCTTGGAAGTCAATGGAAAGTCCAAGCCATGTGCTTGCACAGCTGCACCTCCATGCATCTCCGGGATGTCACCAAGGTGTCTGCAAGCCACCACGAGGAAGCTCTCGAAATGCTCGGGGAGGCCAGCAGTCAGCCTTGTTTCGCCGAGTCAAGCGGTGGTTTGTGCAGGCAGCGATCAGGTTTCGCAAGGCTAAGGAGCACACGGCTTTGGCTGAAATGACCGTGCCTGAGAGACGTTTTGTTCTGCGACGAAGAGCCAACTAGACTCTTTCAGTACTCTTGTCAAGCTCAGGTTGATTGCAGGCGTGACTGTCCACCTGGATGTAGGGAGCTTGTACTGGCCTTGGCTAGCAACCGTCATCATTTGCATCTTGTTCAAGGCATGATTGCGCCGTCGCGGTCGACAGCCATCTGCGTTGCAAGCATGTGCTCCAGTCAGCCCAGGTCAAAGGCGCAACAGGCAGCAGATACTGTGATATCCTCGGCAAAACAATGTGACACACGAGGTGCACTGTCTGACAAGTTGAGAGACGTGCCTCAGCCTGCATGTGAGGCCCTGGGCGTTTGCCGGCAGCTCGACAAGGTGTGTCGCAATGGCAATATGAGGTCTATGCGAAGTGGCCGCAGCGGTTTGGTGGGAAAGTGGCCACGGTGATGGTGGCCGTGTTATGATAGTGATGGTTGGCGATAACAGTGATGCTGGCGATGATTGCCATCATACCGGTCCATACCGATGAATGAAGGCAAGTAGTGTGGTAAGGATTCGCACGCAAGGTGTAAGTGTGTATGTGTGGATATTTATACATGTGTTAAACAACAGTGTATATATATATATGTATGGTCACCCCACCCCACCCCTCAAGATCTACGCCCACCTGTTCCAATCGACTCTACAAATTGCTTCCATACATATGTACAAGACTCAGATATGTCGAATCGCGCCTTTCTTTACGTGCATGCAAGCCGTGCTGCTACATGTCGCGGATTTGACTTGCATATAAATCTGGTGCCGAATTTCGGCCCCGGATGAAGAATATTTTATGTGTTGGAGCTGCTGCAAATGCTGCAGGGTGTGGCAAGTTTGTTTAAGTGGCAAAACAAGACCTCGTGGCTTTTGCGTGTTGTCACATTTTAGTGTGTCATATTTAACAACAGTCGTCTTACAACCAAACTGCTGTATTCTCACTTACGAATATATATGTCTGTGTGTGTGGGCCATCTCTTTCCCGCTGCACGTGAAGTGTCCGATTGTGCTTTTGCCTGATAGGGCCTAGTGGCAGCATCTCTTTGCTGTTATAAAGGAAGGGGCCGAAGACACGAGCGCTTTCGTTATTATTGAATCCCAACTCCAATAGCTGTTCTTTGCTTCATAAGAAATGGGAAAACCCCTTTGTAAGTGAAAACTTACTTTCATGTGAGGGCGCATAAGAAGGACGCTCAGCAACAAGAAGTAAGAGACCTCCTTCAACCTTCCAAACATGAAAACGGCCTAAATACGGCTGGCTCTCTTTGTACATATCAATCAGCAGGCAGGGGTCCGTACCCTTGTAAAACAAAGCAAGATGGCACTTATCGCACAAAGCTCCTCTTTATGTCGTGGCAGGATCTATGAATCTATGACAGCTATCGGAAAACCAGCCATGTACGTAGCGCTCGCTATCTGTTTTTGAGGATACAAGACGAGGTAAGAGAAGGCTAACTTGGGCCATCCTCGTACCTATTAAGGAAGAGTAACGCAAACCCTTGCTCTTCCAGGAAAAAAGGATAGATGGCAGCCCTATTCATTGAAGACTGAGGCGAGCTCCTTTTTATGTTGTGATGCGAACTATGACATCCCCTAAACCGATCGGTATGGAGGTAGCTTCAATAAGAATTGATAGAAGTCTCAGGCCTCGTGCCCGTGTAGTAAAGTGTTGGTCAGATCTAGGTAGTGTCGCTTGAAGACCGAAGAGAGCTCCTCTGTATTTCGTGTTACGTTCTGTGACAGCTATTATAGAGGACATAGCGATCGGTATTGTTTCATAAGAATGAATATAGATGCGAAGTCTCTCTTGTCCTTCACGAGTAGCCACATGTAAACAGGCTCCCACAGGCTCCATTATCGACGAAACGAGATAAACTAAGATGGACCTTCGCCATACGTATCAAGTAAGAGTAATGAAAACTCTTGCTGTTCCAGAAGACGCACAAGATAGCACTTCTAGTCATTGAAGGCGAATGATAGCTCCCATTTATCTTGTGATACAGTGTCTCCTGTCCTGGACATCACGAAACACTGTAAAGCTCAACAAAATCACAAAAATTCACAAGTCCTGGCATCTTATGGCTCGGCAGGTGGCGAAAATGTCCAAAATTTTGGAATTTGTGGAGCGTTACGGTGTTTCGTGGCTGCCCGAACTTCACAAAGCACTGTAATGCCCAAAAGGCCAAAACTTGTGCTGAATCCGGCCCCGGCTTGGCCATAGATGCCACAAACGTGGAATTTCTGGCATTTTTGGAGCAATACAGTGTTTCGTGACCTGAACCTCACCAACCACTGTAATGCTTCAAAAAATCTAAAATTTCCAACCTCAAAACTCACGATAAACTGGATTGCTCAAAACCTTCCCAAAGTTTGCCTGAGCACAAATACCGGAATTTCGAATTTTTGGAATTCTTTCAGCATTACAGTGTTTCGTGAGTTTTGAGATGGGAGTCTGTTGAGCAACACAGCGTGTCGTGGCCTGAACCTCACAACACACTCTCTCTAACGCTCAAATAATCCAAAATTCCGAGCCTCAAAAGTCACGAACCACGGTAATGCTCAAAATTTCAAGAAATTCAAAACTGTTGGGGAATCTGGTCCCGGCCTAACCATAGATGCCAGAATTTTGGCATGAGCATTACAGGGTTTCGTGCGCCCCACGCACCCAACAAGACTCCCAACAACCACCACTGCGGAAGATCGGGGGGATATGAATGAATATATGTATGTATGTATGTATGTATGTATATATATGCATACATATATTACATATATACGCGCACATGCATACATGTTACCAGGCTTTGGTTGGACGTGTTTAATATAACGCACGCAACGCACCCGTCTCTGAGACATTGGGCTCGAGGCCGTTCCGTAGCTGACCTGTGCCGCCGGGACGAACAGCGTCCCGACAAAAAGGTACCGCTTCGTTCATGCAGCCGCATAGTAAGCCATTTGGCGGTAGGGAACGAACCGTGCCTGTTGAACACATGCATTCCTACACACATACCTATGTATTTCTATATGTGCATGTGTGGGGGTGGGGGGTGGTGTTTCTACTGATTTTGGTGATGACAGTGACCAGGTGGTTGGCAATGGTAACCTGGCATGATGGTGCTGAGCATTGTGCTGATGATGATGTGACGATGACGAGGTTTGTGAACGTCAAGATAGGCATTATGCAAACGCTGGGGTGATGAAACACGCACAGGAAGTTCCGTCACCTGCACCTTTTGTGTCCTAGCGCAGTAATCCGGAAAACAGAAGTAAGCTCATGTGTGCCAGGACGGGGCCAGTCAGCTGGCTTCCGCCCTCCTCGCTGCAGCCAGGCACCTGCCACCTGCTGCATTCAGGTAGAAGTGAAGTTGTTTGCGAAAGCGGATAGCCGGGCTAGCCGCGACATCCTAGGACTACAATGGACTACCAGTTTGCTTTTACCGTACGGTGTTTTTTCACACAAGTGTTTGTGTCATGTTGCAGCTGCTGCTGCTTCTTCTTCCCGTTGCTGCGGATGTGATCGTGCGGCCGTCCTTGCCGGCCATGTTGCTGCCCATGCCGGATACTACTTTATTATCAGCAGCATAATTGCAAGAGATGTTCCAGCTACTGTACAGCACAGCAACTTGAACAACAACCTTGCCACCACTATCACTGCCACCATCACGATGATGACCACTTCCAACTGCGAATGCTAACCCGAAACGGTTTGCGCGCATACGCTGGCCTTCGTGCCCGGCTGCGGATCAAGCGATTTTGGATCGATTTTTGCGAGTGTGGCCGGCGTTGCCCGCTGCTAGCTAGACCATCCGTGCCAGCATCTTGCCATGCCGGAGTACCGCGAGTTCGAAGAGGAAGAGGCCATGAATTCAGTGGGTAAGTGCAGCGACAGCGGGCGCCTTGAAGCCCGTATGGCAGTATGGGCTAGCGAAGGTGTTGGAAGCAGTCGACAGTGTTCGGGCTGGCTTTGGTCTTCCTTGGCTTCCTTGCCTACTACCACCACGACGAGCGAGCTCAACATAATCATCTAAGCGTGCTGGATAACTCGCTGGCTGCGGCCACCCTTTCCTGCTCCTTTGACGTGGTGGAGGCCTTCTTGAGCGCCACGGCTTTGGGTGACGACATCAACGGTATGGATCGCGTTGCTGGCCGCCACGGCCCGGCAGCTCTGAGGTCGCTGTCGGGTGGACTCCGGCATCTTGATTTTCTGGTTTGGAAATCTGGCCTCTAAGCTGGCATCTGCGGTCTCCAATTGTGAGAGGCGGACGATTATTTGCAGAGTTCTTTGCGGCTTTGGCGGTGGCTTGCCAAGCAACTTGGGGGCTCCCCTTTGCGCTTAAAAAGGTGATCCAGCGCTTCCTCGATGGCTGTGGAGTTCTGCAATGCCACCAATGTGACCGATCAGGGCGACTACGGCGACTTTCCGAACGGGTGACCAGGTATGGCGATCTGTACCAGTAGCGACAGTACCTGGAACTCATCAATCGAGCAACTGGACCGAACGGGGGACAGTGTTCGGGGGCTTCAGTTCAGTGAAGGATACAAGCATTCGACAGCTGTCCGTTTGACGCCGCAGTGGGAATCTCTTGTAGTGCCCGTATGTATGCCATACATGGGACGAGCCCTGTATGAAACATCTGCAAGGGCGCTTGTCGCCAGGGCGCCCAGCTTACCGTTTGGCTTGAACAGAAGTGCACAACCCTCCCTCAGCAGTTCCTTTAGCTCATGCATGCCAAGCGGTTCGAGCAAGATTCGCATGCCGGTCGTCCAGGGCCAACTTGGCAGCTGCATCTTCCAACAGCATCGCTGCAGCGCTGCAGCAAGCCAAGGAGGCAGTGGGATCAGATTTCTGAAACGCCAGCAACATGAACTGCAAGATGCAATGCAGACTCCGGGTCAGCCAGCGCAGGCACAAGAGTTGTCAGCTGGGCTTCAAGACGTCTTGGGCTTGGAAGTGCATCGCATGCTCCTCGACGTTGCTGCAGCGAGGGGCAACATTCAATCAATTGCAGGAGTTTTCCGACGTGGCCATCGTGTAAGTTAGTGTTTGCACTTTGAGGCCAACACAGAAGCAGGTGCACGGCTGCTTCTGACTGCCTCAACCTGAGTTCCCTCACAATTTCGACACGAAAGAGCCAGCCAAGCTTCTGTGGTTGACTTAGGATGCACAGATTGCGAGCGGAAGGCTGCAGGATGCCAGGAGCCCTGGAGCAGGTCAACAGTGGAGATCCTATGATTATTTTTATATTATATTATATATTCTACCGTTTTCTTAGAACCCGGATGCCTTAACCCCTTTCTGTTTATGATGCCGACGCCCGAGGGTTCTGAGACATAGAAATCCATGCACAGCTCTGGGTGCCAGCGGCTGCAAGTAGCAGGCTAACATAACATACTATGAAGTAAAACAATTCAGTATAAAAGAACTGTACCATCGTGCATCACATGTATAGAAAACAATATAAGAGAACATAGAATGACAGAGAAGCTTTGCCCTTGCAGCTTAGGCCCTGCGTGAAGCATCCCGGTTGGCCACCGAGAGCAGAGACAGCGGCGATGTGGCGGGCGAGGCTGTCTTGAGGGCTTCTTACAACTGGGGATCCCGGTTTGGCTTATGTATGTTAGGGATCCTATTTTTACGGGCTGTAGATTGAAGGAAATTGCCCGATTGAAGAGATGGCAGGGGCAGAGCTCACTTCCCGGGTGTTTTCCCGTCGTGCCCAGGTTTGCACTGTTCTTGAGCTGGGAAGTTGGAGGGTTGAGCGTGGCTTGTGCCCAAGTCAACTGGAAAATGGACGAAGACTTCCCCACGGGCTCCAGATCAGAAGCCTAGGCCTAAGCAGCCTCAGCAGTAGCGATGAAGAGTGTAATGCAACGTATTATAGCAATACATCAGCTAGATAAATGGAGAGAGAAGGCGACGATAAGCCGGTCAATTTACGCGTATATATACACATACATTCCAAGTAAGTAAGACAAAACTGCACATACGATATGCAGCACTGCAAGATAGTAGTGAATGACACAGGATGATAGAGTGAATGCCGATGTCAAACGTTGGAGCCGTTTATCAGGCGACGGCCCTATTCTACTGCTTCCGCGCACTCTGCGACTCGGGACGCCGGGATGCCCGTGGCAGAAGTTGCTCTCTGCTTAGGCGCTCTTTAGGTGGCACTGTAGGAATTGTGCTTTCCTGTCATGGTCTGCAAAGGTAAGGATTCATGAATAAGGACTGACTATGTTTGCTTTTCGACTACAGTGCAGAAGTCCTCGCTTAGCGCTCCTACTGCCTGCATCAAGAGGATGTAAGAGGAATTGAGTTTCTTCACCCAGCACTGGAGAAGTTGTCGGTTGATGCCCAAGGTCGAGACGAGGCTCTTGGCACGCTGTGCCTCCCTCAAAGATGCCTGTGTTTGCCCCTGTCGACGGCATGCATGGGGCTGGGTATGATTCGAGAGCATAGATTTCAGCACGCCACGTGCTTCAAAATACAACGTGAAATCCAAAAAAAATCATCGTGCTATATACTTGTTGTCGTTACTAGGCGGACAGACATTGTCCGCGTTGTTAACTATTTGTGCTAGTATAAAGTAGTAGTGTGTCTGAATACGTATATTTAACACACGTATATATATACACACATAGACATTCTGAATTTACACCGGCATACATACATACATACATACATACATACATACATAATATATATATATACACATCTATACATAGACAGAGAGACAGAGTGTGTGTGTGTGTGCGTGTGCATTTCTTTCACACACTACGCAGTATAGCCTATGTCTTTTGCAGTAATCTAATGTGACACTTTTCGGCTGTTGGTATTGAGTATATGATGTGTAGCAGAAGTGCGCAGTGTGTAATGCGCAATATATGCTACAAAGACTATATCATATTCATAGACAATATATGGTACAGAATAAGTGACAAGCGTAGGAAACAGTTCGCATTTAACAGTCAGTTGTTCTTGTTTGTAGTCAATATTGGGAGAGCGGCTTGCTGTGGAGCTCCTCTTCTGTGTTGTTGTTGCTATTCTGATTGTTAGCAGGATTTAGCAGCTGCAACAAAGGGCACCACCAAAGTAGTAGTCGTCGTCGTGGTAGTAGTAGTAGTAGTAGTAGTAGTGCTAGCAGTTGTAGTGGTCGTAATAGTCGTAGTAGCTAGTAGTTAGCAGTTAGTAGTTAGTAGTCAGTAGCTTGCGGCATTTGCCTTACATTGCGGACGTCGCACAATCCAGAGTGCTCGACGAGGGGAGGACAAGCACTTCGTGCCCGGCCGCTCATAGACGGCGTAAACTCGTGGTGACTCCTTTCATCAAGGCATCAAGATCGATCGCAGCTCCCACTGAAGTTGCACTTTCGCCCTGAAGAGCTCCACTTGCCAAGGGTTTCAGGCCAGAGTAACAAGATGCGTTGCCGACCGCTGCGGATCCCTTTTGCTTTGCAGTGCCGGCTTGGGTTGACGATGAAGCATCCCGCACATCTTCCATGTCTGATCTGCTGCTACTCCGAGCCAAAACTGCCCACATCTGAGCTCACCGCACGCTCCACTTTTTGAAGGACTAGGTGGCATGCCAACCCTCCGAGCACAGAAAGTGCACTCGAGTCAGTAGAGTACATAAGCTTCGAACCGGTATCAGGCGCTCAGGAAGCCATCGCTATTATATACTGCTGTGCATCGGTAGAACAACCAGCAGCGGCCCAAAGGTACGGGGAGAGGCAAGGCCAGCAAAAAGCATGATGAACGAAGGTCATGGAGTAGTGACTCGTCTGCCTTCTGAACTGACCGGTTGGGCGTGTACACGACGATGACGCAGCCCCAGTGGAGTGCAAACGCTCATTTGCCTGGAACAGGACAGCCTAAGCTTGAGTATGAGAAACACCCCCAGCCACGCCACCTTCAAAAAATGCCGTTTAAGGCAATGCAATCAGGAAGGTACACCATCTGGGTTTGGCGAAGGGCGGCAAACCCTGCATGCACAAGTAGTAGTAGCAGTAGCAGGAGCAGTAGCAGCACAGCAGTGGCACCAGCAGCAGTAGCAGCAGTATGTATATGTCTGTATGGTGTACGCCTGCATGTGTTGGTATGTGGGTATGCGTGGGTATGTTGTATATTCATTATATTCACACATATATATGTATATATATGTGGCTATATATGTATGAATAATTTATGCAGATGTGCGCGTGTATGTCAGTTTATCTGTTCTTGAAAACATGGAGCGGATAAGAACAGCGAAGGCACCAGGCTCTCGGGCTGTACTGGGACATCGCCGACTCGTCCGGACGCCCGCAGCTTCTGTCTTATTTGGGCAGTTCTCTAAATTAGGGTCCCGTTTTCGGTTATCAAAAATTCTCTAAATTTGGGTTCCGTTTTAGGTTATCAAAAATAGTACGGCACCCTTATATACAAAAAAAGAGGGACCTAAACGGGACCCCAGTTTAGAGAGCTACCCATGTTCAGATGTAGGGCAAGGAGCCTTCTCTCACTGGGCCGGCATTGTGAAGGCGAAGGCTGAAAGATGTTTGACCGTAATCAAGGGTTTAGGGTTTTCGGTTTGTGCGGTTTCGGAGCTAAGGGCTTGAGTCCCGGCAGCCAAAGGCAAAAGGATGGCTGGTGCAGAACGGATGTAGACAGCCATCTCGGTCCCTGGGTACTCGGTACAGTTACAAAGTAAAGCAGCAGTGGTAAGAGCTTCGACTACATTGGGGTGTCGAATGCTCTGCGTTTGAACTAGGACTTGTCACACTTGTCTTCTAAGATCTTGTTGCCCGAGGAAGCCGCGGAGTTCCCGGTCCCCACTTTTGTCCTTCGTCTCTTCCTCCTCTTCAACCCCAGGGCACATCTGTGTGGTGCTGCTTTGTGCCTGTGGACTCACTTGAGCTCGGTGCCGCAGCACAGAAGTGTTCTGAAGCATCAGGTCTGGAGCAATGAAGTGCTTGTATGCCTTGGCCAGGAGCTCAATCTGTGCTGTGTGGGGCTGTGAGGCACTATTAATGCCGCTTTTTGTGAGGCTCAAGTCCATCTGGCGGCGGGGGATGCAGCAGTGCACACGGCAGCAGTTTCCGTACTATGGATGTGCTCTGCCTTTTTCTCTCCCACCTCCTCTCTCTCTCTCTCTCTCT